ACCAGAAGTATTTCTGGTCCACTTCCAGGTCAACTGGGGAGCATGAGCCCACCCCACCCCAGGCTCTTCAATCTGCTGGGCTGGGGGGGGACCCCAGGTGCCCCCCCCCCCAAAAAGACACCAGTTGCCAAGCTGGGGAGGCACAGGGGGGGCCTCCCAGCGTGCTCCCCAGTGGACCTAGAAGTGGACTGGAAGTGCTTCTGGTCCACTTCTGGGTCTGCTACCAAGCTAACTGGAGGGCCCCCCATGTTTGCGTGGGATGCTCCACCTGCCCCAGCACCACAACGTTTGAGCCACCTGGTACCTAGAGGTAATGTAGAAAAAACATTTAAAAGCTGCGTCTACATCCAAATCGCCGAGTCTTTCCAAATCAATTCAGAGGGTTCCAATTCGATTTGGAGAGATTAAGGGTTCTCCCAAGTCAATTCAGATTCAGCCACCGAATCAAGCCAAATCTCCGTCGAATTGAATCAGGGACCAAAGCTTCGCGCAGTCCTAGTGACTCATGTTACACCATGGCCACTAAACAGAATCTCCATTGAAAGGAAGCCACATGTACACCCCCGCCCCCTGTTTTTTTCATTTTTTTTGAAAGGCAGAGTAAAATGCTAGAAGTTAGGGATTAGCTAAGCAGGAAGAAAGAGGAATGAAAGATGGATGAGAGGAGCAGAAAAGGAACAAGAGAGAGTGGTACAGAGTTAGGGAGGAGAAAGAATAGTATTAGAACAAACACCATCAAAACTGGGCAGAAAGTCCAGACAAACCTGGACATTTACAAAACTCCCTACAGGACTTTCCTACCAGCTGGGGTCTCTAAATGGCATATTCACAGGGAGTTTTATTTCATAGACATTAAGGGCTGGAAGGGACCTCAAGAGATCATCAGGTCCAGCCCCACTGCCATAGGCAGGAAGTCATCTGGGATCAAGTGACCCCAGCAAGATATTAATCCAGCTGTTCTTTGAAGGAATCCAGAGTAGGTGCTTGCACCACCCAGGCATATTATGGGGAGCTAACCCTGGATCCTAATGGCTCCATGGCAGACTATGCTACAAGCCAGTTTTAAGTAACCCCCAAATAGACTGAATGAAAAATACTAAATTGGTCATTTTATGGTCCTTTCTAAAACTGTTTCACATGGATACCAACTGGGGACTCAAAAAGGATGGTGGGTAGGTTGCAGACCTTTGTGGAGTCTGGCAGCGTTCCCAATGTGAACTTGAATTTCCCAAGGACTCTTTTCAATAAAAAAAAATTAACTTAAAGAGGGAAATGCATTGCCACTCATTTGTCATTTCAAAAATAAGTTCTTTGAGAAAAAAAGAAACCTATATCAATTTTCTTACCTATGGATCCCAAAGTACCCATATATAAGAATCACTTTACCTTGCACTGTAATGCAGTCACTTCTGAAACAGAACACAACTCTTTGCCAATTCACTGCAGATTTTATAGCATGAAAAAGATGACAGCATCCAGTTGAAACAACATGGTGAGGGAAGGCAGAATTTAGGTGAACAGCTTCGCTCCCCAAGCTTTTTAACCGTGGCTCAGGATCTACAAAGAATTTAAGAAATGTTCCCCCTTTGCTCTTAATGCAATGCACACAGATTAGCATTGTACAAATTTAAAGTCTCCTCAGGGTTCATCTTTATTATTGACTTAAACAATGCAGACCTCAGCCCGAGTTGCTCACTCAGCTTAGGTGTTCCCTATTGCCCCTACAGGACCTCCTCTACCCCAGTCCATAACTCCCTTTACTTTAGAGCAGTGGTTCTCAACCGTTTTTGTGCCAGGACCCACTTGGAAACATCAGCGGCCAGTCCTGACCCGTGTCCCCCACACCCCCATGTGTGGGGGAAGGGGGCGCCCAAGCAGCCCCTCGCAGGCTGGAGCTCTGCCAGCCAGCAGTGAAAAAGCCACACCTCTCCTGGTTTTCTCCTTTAAAGGAGAATCCATTTTTAAAATTTGCGACCCTTTCATATATTCTTGCGACCCACTTTTGGGTTGCAACCCACGGGTTGAGAACAGCTGCTTTAGAGAAACTCTCTCAGCCTTTTCATATGGCCAAGCTGGAACAAATAAGAACCATCTGTTTGGCAGCCAGGGTGAATCAAGCAGAACTCTGCATCGCTGCACAAGCTCTTTGCACCTGATAAATAGGGAATCGACTGGGAAAAGTCACAATAAGCACATTCCCCTCCCCTCCCCGCCCCCGCCAAAAAAAAGAAAAGCATAGGAACGAGTACATGACCCCCAGCACCAGACCACCAGACACAGGTTTGGATTCTGTCTCCGTCTCCATTATAAAGTTAACAGCAAGACTTCTACTGACTTCGGCTGAAACAGGATTAGATCCATTTTGTTTCTTTTCCCCCCTGAGCAACGGCAGCCTCTGAGAAGCCTGTTGCTGGTACATCTTACCATTTGTTATATTAGTTTTCCTATGGCTCCTATCAAACAACAGCAGGTTGCATGCTGTAAGTAAGCAGAGCCAATTGTTCGGAAGAAGCAAGGCTTATGGTAAGGTTTCTGCCAAGCTGAAGAGCTGATTTTACTATGCAAATGGTAATTGCAGTAATCTTTACAGACAAGTTGTTGACAAGCTTTAGGTGAGGTAAAACCAGAAAGAAAGAAGCAAGTAGCTTATTATTTTCCCTTGTGAAAGGGAATGTATAGGTAATGGCCCAGTGTGTGTGTGTGTGTGTGTGTGTGTGTGTGTGTGTGTGTGTATTACTGAAGCTGCGAGCAGTATGGTATAACTTTAACATTCTACTGCCTTTTTAATCAAACTTATCGATGTTCATCACATCCATAAAGTACAGAAAAATGGTTTACTAAACTTAAGGAAAATATAAGATCTCATTTTCTGCCTCTCCGTTTCTTTGTTATGATGCCATAATGTCACCACTGTAATATATTTCCCCCTTTCGCCTCTGTTTTAATGTTCATTTTTGATTCCACTATGATGGTATCTGCTTCCTTGAAGCAATGATGAATGAGTTATGAACACTGCTTTAACTCCACTACTCGCATCCAAAAAAAAGGATGTGAATGTGCTGCAAGAAAAGAATTACCTGCTGCAGAAATGGAAAGTTAACACCGGAGGTCTGACAAGCAAAAGAGCTCATTATTGCCTTGAGTACTCTCCTGGAAGATCTGTGGGAATATGAGCATGGAGACCTATTTCTGAGGCTGTGAGAAATGGACCTAAACCACTTCTTTTTCAGTTTAGCAGGAGGGTTACAGTCTAGCAAAGTCTATGGGATAAACCATGACTCTGACGGCCAGTGAATCTCTAGGGGCACTGAGCACCAGTAGGTGTAGGGAGTGAAGAAGCCGTGGAAGAACACACAATACGTTCAGAAAAGGCATGCTGGCCCACAAGACAGATGTGAGATGGCTCTGCTGCCCATGGGTTGCAACAAAAGAAAGCCAACACCGGGCAGCTTTCTTCTTGGTCACCCAGACAACTTCTTCCACCCAAGGACCCTATTGAGGAAAGCAAAACAGAACCACAATAATGCTGGCCACTGTTGTATTCTCTTAAAGTAGCATAGTTTCCTTAGCTTGAGGCATGTGGTTACTCCTTCCCTCTCCCAGGGGACTGAATCAAGAATTTTTATTTATTTATTTATTTATTAAATAGAGGAAGAGACACAATAGCATCGTTCTCAGTTCTTCCTTCTCATTCCATCTCTCCCTTCGAATTTTTATTTATTTATTTATTTATTAAATAAAGAGACACAATAGCATCTTTCTCAGTTCTTCCTTCTCATTCCATCTCTTCCTTTGGTTAGAGAAACCATGACTATAAAAAGGTCCATCTTCCAAGCTCAGGAAAGCTAAAGACTTGAATCTTCTCTTCTGCCATCCGTAGGAGTGTAACTTCTTCCTGACCCTGTGACAGACACATGTATACCGCATCAGAAATGGTTTGGCAGGTGTTAAAACAGCTCCAGCACCATTTTTATGGCAGCATTTTAGATTATCATGCATAAACAGTAAGTTGTCATAGTGGTAGCCTCAAAAGATAGCCTCATACTTTGAACTCACCTCAAAAGGTGAGGAGCATCACCGAGTAGAAACTAAGAGAGGTCTTGCTACAAATCGTCCTTTACAACAATTCTGTTGGTTGTTGTTGCACAATCAGTATGTTGCCATTTAGAGAAAGAGAGGATAATTCTTAGTGGCACGGCATATGGCTTTATAAATTAGATCTCCACATTGTTATGCCTGGTTGTCTTGCCTCAAGAAGTCAAGTCAAACTTCTATATCCCGCAAGGAATCTGCTGCCAGCAGAACTCTTAGCTTGACCAAAACTCGTAGCTAAGAAGTATCACTGCAATGGAAATTGGTGATTGATAGGCATCCTTTCCACTAAGGACCAGAAACTTCCTCACACGTTTAATTAATGTATTACAACTCATTATGACTGGGGTTAGGGAAGCACTTGGCAGCTGAAACAAAAACCCTTTATATTTTGTTTATATATAGCAAAATTTCTCAGTGGGAATATGAGCAACAAATGGGGGGGGGGAAGAGGTATGGCAAATATATGTTCTTCCACAGCAAGGTGGAAGGCAAGCTTGTTTATAGCTTGAAGACAATTTTCCAGATGTATCACAAAGATGGGTATTCCTTCTTGAGAATGTAGATGAATATCCAACCTGATTGAGCTAACAAAAGCCCTGCCTACAAAAATACACCCGAGAAAGAAAAATATTGTTGCACAAATATTGAGGTAATTTTGTTGGAAAGCAACTATAGTTTATTTGGTTTTCTTTATTTTTAACTTCGGAACAGGATTGCACTGAACTAATTCAAAGTGCTCTGGGTAGCCATCATACCGTTGATGCATAATTAAAGTTGCATTTTAAATTTAGCACTACCTCTCCCTGTCTGCAATAAGAGGAGGAATAGCAATGCAGAAGCCAAGGATTGTTGATCTGGTTGTTTGTGTTTTACTTGAAAAGTTTCTGTGCTTTACCTACAAAGTTTTCAAAGTCATCACTGAACAACTGAAATGAAATTATTCAAAAAACTGTTTGCTATCACATGCTTGCCCTCAATCTGCCTCATATCAACTTGTAATTCCTTAGAGAGAATGGCATTTTTTGAACAGAAAACAATGACTTGGAATCTTGCCACTTTCTTATTAAAAATGAGTATCTATGCTCAACCAGTTGTGTGTAGACAAAAATCTGTGAGTGCATAATTTCAAGCACAACATCATGCAAATGTATTCAGCAATTCTCCTTTCTTAAGAGAAAAATAGAGACTGCAAATAAAAACAAAGCCCTGTGAATTCAAACTGCATCCTGATAGGTTTTCTAGGATCAGTTTAAAAGAGGTGATAAAGGATTAAGATTACCCATTTTATAATTATGCTGAGAGATGAGAATCTACACAGAATGAAAGGGCATGGGTCACCTAATAAATTGCAGATAAAGCCATCAAAGACTAGGCGCACATTTGTACAATTTAAGTGATCCCACTATAAGCTTCTTCAAGCTAATTTACTTCCATGGCAGTTAACTTAATCTCTTTAACTGTTAAATTACTTCACTCCTTAAAGAAAGGGTTTTGAAGAAATTTATAGTGAACCTTTAACAATTTGGAGTTTAAATGCATTCGTTTCTTTGTTAATTCCGATATTTTGTGTAGAGCTTTTGACAGACCATCGACAACAAACTTCATTTAGGCTTCTTCATTTAATCTGGAGGAATTCCAAGCTTTGAATGTTAAGTGCTTAATAGTTCTGTATATTAACTTCTTTCATCAGATGCCCATGCACACAATGGTCTGACCCCTTGAATACATATATCCAGAACAAGAATATTACACCAAAAACTCAAGTCATTTAAGGGCCTTGATCAAAGCCTATCAAAGGTAATTAAAAGACCCTTACAAAGCCTGAATTTGGTAGGATTTGGATCATGTCCCAACCAGGGGAGGTATCTTATAATTGGCTCAGCAAAGTGCATTTCTCTCAGGAATCCAATATGCCCATTGATGCAGTTATGTAAGAGATGGGGATGCAAGAGGGATGGGGTACAGAGCAACTCATATTCATCTTGGAGAACCAACACCAACTCAGACTTCTGCAAGATTAGGAAGAAATGAGAAGAGGTCCAAGGCAGGACTGAAGTGGGAGGACTTGGGATGAACTTTAGAAAAAGAGGAGGGACTGGGTTCAACATTAAATATAGTGTTGCAAATCTGCATAACTTTACAGTGAATCCCACTGTTTTTCCTTCCTTAAGCCAGAGTGAATCTCAGTTTTCCATTGTTTTTTTGGTTTTTTTTTTAAGTTTCTGGTTGAGAACTCCAAAGAGCGATTCCAGTATACCCAAAGGTCTCAGAGTCCAGCAGACGAAGGACCCACTAAGCATTTCTTAAAAAAAAACAAAAACATGATTTTTCACCAGTCTCAACATTTTTGAATATTTAGTACCGATAAGCTATGATTTTTAGTGATCTACTGAGAAGCTGCTACTTAAATCCTCTCTCTTTCCCCATTGTCTCTCATCACGAAGGCCCTAAATGTTACAAACATTTGTGCACGTGCTCAACCATGCTCGCCAAGGCGTCCCACTGAGACCAAGTATGGGCATAAATGTTCACTGCATGGAGGCCTGGATGCAAGAATGATTTAGCAGCATCACAGAGCAGATTTTTGCATCACAGTATAACATTGCATAAAAAACAAACAAACAGTCTCCTGATACCAGATTATATATTAGAATGCTTAAGAAATATTTAAGAAATTCAACCTATTTTGGGGGAAAAAATAAATTTCACAAGGTTTGGGGGTTTTTTTAAATCATATATTGGAATATTATTTTATTTTGACAAGGAAGCTATTAGTTACAGTATAACAGGTACTTTGTTGCCAAACTGCCAACTGTTTCTTTGACTAGATTAGATATTCAATAACTTCTCAATCAGAGTGCAGTGGGTTTGTATTTGATTTGCTTAAAATAGAGAGCTTTATCATTAACATATGCTAGTAATTACTAGTAGAAGAATATGGAACGGACCACAGAATCACAACAACAGGCAGAGATCGGGGGGAAAAAAAAAAGAAAGAGGATGAACAGCTCAAGGCAGTCGTTCAGCTCTCAGCCAGCATTATGTTTGACACCCAGGGTATTTTAGCCACTTAGGCTTGGAGCAGTTGACTGAAGAAAATGATTGCAGATTGTACTGGACATGTAGGATTAGTGTGCCATATTTATGGATACGAGGGAAAGCTTAGGATCCTGGACCTCTATAAACTAGTTCAGCTGACACGCACACAAGCTGGCATCTACTTCATTGGCAACTATGAACCACAGCAAGTGTTCAGAAGTGTTGGCATCTAGTTCTGATCCAGATGTATCCTTTCTGTCCCAACCCATCCCCTCCTTCACCATGCTATTCCCTATCCCATACTGGAAAGCCTTCCAGACCCTGAGCCCATATTTAAGACATTGAAGAGATGCCAGAGCCATGTCTGCGTTTGGCATTACTGGTGTTTGGTGGGGTGGGGTCTCGCATCTGCTCCATCATCCCTTAGCATCAGATTAGATGGCTCAAAGGACAACAGGAAAAGGATCCATCAGACCCTTTACTATTCCTGGTGGGTTTTCCTTGTCTGGCACTGCAATGCAATCCAAATGTCTTCTGTATAGACAAGGAGACTCAGATTGTGTTGTGTTGGGAAGCAACCCATTCATTCTGCATTCAAAAACCTTGGGGTTAAGGAATACTGGATGACAAGTAATCCAGGGGAATCTGTGGCAAACATTTCCTTTATTGGTTCCAGAGAGACAAACTAAGAAACTTGCTCAAGGTCACACAAGGTGCCATAAGCAGAGCAGAGAATTGAACACGAGTCTCCCAAGTTCCAGACCAGCAGCTTTACCACCGAGTTAACCCCCTTATCTGATGGCAATTATCACTTGCATGAGAAAAGACCTGCAGCTTTAACTAGAGTGCAATGCTTAAACTGTAGCCTTTGCAGTACAGGCAACCCCCACTTAATGCTATTTCACTATAATGCTAGTTTTACATGGATACCCGATTCCACTTAGCACTCAGCGAGTTTCATTATAATGCTCATGGTCACCATCTTGGTTTGTCGAAAACATTTGGTTTCACTTAATGCTATATCTGCTTAATGCTCAGTTTTTTAGGAACTAATTAAGAGCTCTAAGCAGGGGCTGGCTGTAGTAGCTGACAGGCACACAGTCATCGGTTTCCATGATTCCATCTTAATGACTCGTCCATATTGGGTGGCTGTGCTAATTAAGAGTTGCGGGCACACACAAGTAAGAAAAGCACTCATCTAAGCAGCATTGTGTGCATAAATCAAACTTGTGGAAATGAGATGCACAGTGTCAAGGAGAACGCACAAGATATCAGAGGCTGATCTAACATCACCTGACAGTTGTGGCTGATTAAATTCATAACCCCTCCATTTTAATTTCATTCACAATGAAATTGTGCCAACAGCAGCTGATAATGCTTAGGCATTTGTCCTGCAGTGTTGGGATTCCCCACTCCAGCAACTAATAACAATTTCTTTGTTAGTTCATTCATGGGCACATTAAGAATCCTAGGCTAGTGTTGCAAGGGAGCAAAAATAGGCCTAAATAAGCAAAGATCAAACCCTAAATTTAAAGGGCACATTCTACCTTGCCAATCACACTTTGTGGTCCAAAATAGCAGTCTGGCTCTATAGTTAATTAAAAAAAAAAGGGACCAAAGATGCACATCACACTGGTTCTAATCCCACTTCTATCACAGTTATTGTGAAGAACAGCCCTTGGCAGTAAGCTGCCTCAGGACCAATTGCTAACTTCACTTTAGACTCCATGTTTAAAAAAAGAAAAAAAAAAAAAGCCTACCCATGTTTGAAACCTCTGGGTCATTTCTTGGGTCTGCAAGCAGCTCTTTCCGGCTAGATTCTTGCATTGAGTCAGGTGCCCACCAAGGTCAACAGCCCTCCATTTGGTTCATGGTTCACCTAGAGAGAGACGTTTCCAAGTCAGTGGGCTGGTACATATTTTAAAGCAACTCATATCACTCATCAATTTATGCCTGATACCAACTCTCCTGCTACTGACAGACCTACATGGAACAGCTCCAATGGAAAGAAGTGTGGAAAAAAGCCAGACCTCTTCAAGTGGGCTCCCTCCCCAACACACCCCTTCTATTCCCACAGACCATCTCCTCTAGTGCCTCAGGGGAGATGGTCCTGACGGTCCATACAAGAGATTCCCGACTCTCAGCACAGAAATCTTTGGAGAATTATCCGATCCACAGAATTTATTCACATATTGATTCAAAGTTTCATCTGGGGAAAACTGAATGTGAGCAAAATAGAAAGCTGGTTGTTGCCTAATTTAAAATTACTTGATAAATGCAGCAGTCTCTAAAGAATAGCTGTAAACATCCCCTTGTGCTGGCACATGATATTTTAACACAGGATTTCAAACTACAAGCTCCAACTGCCTGTTTTCAAGGGGGCGGCACAGAAGTCTTCACTAGCAGAACAGTGAATCCTACCATGCACAAACAGGGACGTCGTTTATGGCAGGATGGTGCACCGAGAATCAGGGGTCTAAGTGACCATAAGTTGTTTAATCACCCAAAATTCCAGGATAGGAGAATAGTGGCATAATTTGGAACAATTCTTCGAAAAGAGAGTAAGCACCATAATATTTCATTAGCAGTGTTCTTAATGAACTGGTATGCAAGACCTTGAAATTGAATTTACCATGTATTGAGCTACATCCAGTAGTTAAACGTTACATTTCTGTACCTCTGAAAGCAATCACTGATATAATAACCCCTTGTACTCGACCTTAGTGAGGCCGCAGCTGGAGTACTGTGTCCAGTTTTGGGCTCCACAATTCAAAAAGGATGTGGAGAAGCTTGAGAGAGTCCAGAGAAGAGCCACGCGCATGATCAGAGGTCAGGGAAGCAGACCCTACGATGACAGGCTGAGAGCCCTGGGGCTCTTTAGCCTGGAAAAGCGCAAGCTCAGGGGTGATCTGATGGCCACCTATAAGTTTATCAGGGGGGACCACCAGTATCTGGGGGAACGTTTGTTCACCAGAGCGCCCCGAAGGATGACGACTAGGTCGAATGGTCATAAACTACTGCAAGACCGTTTCAGGCTGGACGTAAGGAAGAATTTCTTTACTGTCCGAGCCCCCAAGGTCTGGAACAGCCTGCCACCGGAGGTGGTTCAAGCGCCCACATTGAACACCTTCAAGAGCAAACTGGATGCTCATCTTGCTGGGATCCTATGAACCCGGCTGACTTCCTGCCCTTTGGGCGGGGGGCTGGACTCGATGATCTTCCGAGGTCCCTTCCAGCCCTGATGTCTATGAAATCTATGAAATTGCCATTCAAGTTCTCCTTAACAAGAAATCCATTTTTAAAGTATTATAGTACAAGATACCGAACAGGAAAAACTGATATGTAGTTTTACTGTGTAAAAATATTAGGCAAGTAGGAATAAGCCAAGATACTGAATATATTCATCTCCATTTTAAAGATTATAAGAACTGCAGATTACATATGACAGAACCAATAATTTTCCTGCCGTAATTATAAGATATTTGCTTTAGTGCAAGGCTCTATATTGCAAATATATTTGCAGGTCTACTATTTGACCTACTTTGGCTAATGCTCAATATATTCACATGCACTCCAACAAAACCAGAGAAAATAAGTATACAACCATAACTGCATATCTATTAGGAAGCATGCCGCACAATAAATATATTAATAGCAAGCTTTTGGTTATTAATACTAGGGCACTATTCAAAAAAGCAGCACTGTTGACCTTGGCATCCTGGCCAAGCTCCAATTCCAATAATTGCAGTCCACATGCTAGTACTGTCCCTGCCTTTCAAGGGAAGCCCTCAAACCCTGTGAGCTAAAGAAGGCATGCATTATCTCACTGGAGGAACTCTCTTAGGCTAGCAGAGGTACCAGTCTTATACTCCAATAGAGGGCAGTGGCAAAAGGTGCTACACTACGTATTGCAGAGATGCCACACTTCTAAATTGCTTTACAGATGAGTTGGTTACACCAGAGGGTTAAAGAAAGAGCACCTTCTGTTTTCAGGAATATTTGTCCCCAATAGCTGCTGCTTGTACTGTAGCTGCTATATACTATTAAAGTGGACGAACACCCACAGGGAAGAGAGCTTGACAAAACATGCAGCTCTTTAAGTTAGTCAGACTCTCTCACTGTCTTGTCGATCTCTATGCTCTTGATTAGTTTAGTTTTGAGTGTGAAAAGGGAAGATTCAGTCCAAAAAAAAAAAAAGGGGGGGGTGGGGAAGGGAGGGGATTGGAATGGCTCTAGATGATGCTACATTGTCCTTTGGGTCCTTCGGACCTCCTGCTTTTTCAATTTTAAGTAAGGTATCCTGTCACTCTGCATGGGTGTGAACATTATGCACCAAACTCAGGCAGTGTCAGAAGTGATACAGCCATGTGATTTGCTCTGAAGGTGTCTACGGTCTTTGAATGAACTAACACAAATCTACTAAAAAAAAAATTAAATGGAGAAAAAAAAATTATTGGGCCAGCTCTTCAGCTGGTATCACTGGGTGAAATTCTATGGACTGCAGCAGTGTCACACTGATTTACACCTGCTAAGGACACAGCCTCAGTGCCTTGATATAGTGAAACCTTAAACCCTGCAACACCAGGGAGAAAGAACAGATAAGCATGTTGAGTCCTATCTAACAACGAAGGATATTTGGCCATATTCTGGCATGCAGCCATGTACAGAACTAGAGCAAGTTGTTCTCTATGGATTTGTTATAGTGACTATCGGAGGTCAGACAACATCAGAGTGACAGTCACTCTAATAACAGATGCTGCATCTGGTACCTGACTCTGCCTTCATTTCCACTGACTATCAAAATCTAGTCTGTACACACTGCAAGTGGGAAAAGCCCTATGAAGTCATTTGCACCATATCCCACCATCTCTCACCCGGTTCACTACATGTAGAGCAATTCTGTGCAGTGTAGTTCCCCTTTCCTCTTTAAAGGTTAGTCTCAGGTTAGGATGCCTTCCACCTCTTTAGTTGTATGAAGCTTTGGAAAGTCTTAAGATTTCAACCTAAATTCTCTCCCCATGTCAATATATTCCCACTACTTACATACTTTTCCATCTCTAAATAATCTTTGCCCCTCTCTAAGATTTGCTGAGGCTTCAGTAATGCTTTGCGCACTCTACTTTTAAACATCTCAGAGTTCAGGAGTTCACTTTTGTCCATCCATTGGGTTCACATAAAATTCACCTACTGTGCTCACAAAGTATCAATTCAATTGAGCACAACTGCTGACATCTTCATTTAGCTTGCTTAGTTGGCCCCATATGCAGAAGCGGCGAGCTGAAATCAGCAAAAGGAGAGGAACTCGACCAGAAAGAACTCCGTTTTGTTTAGTGGTTTGAAACTTTTCCAATGTCGTAAAAGTGAGGCCAACTAAACTTGGTGTTGGGTTGGGATAAATAAAGCTGGTTTTAAAAAGCAAAAGTCAATTGCAAGCTGGTATATGAATTAGATATTTAGCTGTATACCGATACTTCACAAGAACCTCAATGGTGGGACCACTACATAGAGATCACACATAAGTTTCAGTAGAAATTGGTGCCAGATAGGACTACAAAGAAAAAAAAAATCAACTCCTTTAGGTCTAAAACTTTAAATAATGAAGGATTTGCATGCAATTAACAGAATAATGATGAGCGTGCATACTCAAATCTGATCTCAGACTGAGCACCCAAAAGTCACTAGGCACTTGCTGAAATTTAGGTCGGTTTTGCCTTGGTGTAATTAAGGTCAGAGGTACTATGGTAAACAGGAAGTTGGACAAAATCAGGCTCTTAAGTAGTCCCCCTGACTTGAAAGCCGTGTTTCCTACCTGGAAGGAATTTGGCCAATATACATTTACCTGCCTGCCAATTTAATATATGCCAAACTCCTATTATGTAGTTATGGACACATCACATGCAGACTGCTAAAGGGTGATAATCTTGCCCACCTTCTTCCAATTTTAAGCAAACTAAAAAAAAAAAAAAAACCTACAAGGTAGCCACAGTAGTTCCTATTAAGAGCAGTACCTCTTATTAAGCCATCTGAATGTTCATCAGTTTTTGGAATGGTAGAACTGCATTTCACACTATGGTTTCCAAAGAAATAAGATGGGGAAAACAAGTACAAGCCCACTTTGCCTACTGCAATACAACATCCACATTGTGGGATACTACTGAAGTAATGAGGAACTGGATATAAGAAAATACCCAGTAGCGTCTGGTAAAGGCATCTTGGCTTCAGGAGACTGAAAAGCATGGGTGTTCATCTTTTTATGCATATAAATATCAGAGCTCACTCTCTCTAAACAGGTCCTTACACCTTACCCTTGACTCAAGCAACACTGCCACCAAGGTGAACCGTATGCTGTTAAGCAGGTGGAAGCAGAATAAATAGTGTTCTCTTGGGCATTAATGATGGATCCTACATCTACATAGTTCTCCTTTAAAGTCATGTTGATGTTTGGTGCATATGACTTATGTTTGTGCCATATCAATTACAGGAAATATTGCACTTAAACAGGGAATTACAATTGCCAAGGCATTCCTTCATAAATCATGGCTGCTCTGGCACTCTCCAACAGATTTTGAAACACCTACAGCAGTAAAATACCAAGAAGCCCATGTATCAGGCATGCTGCATTTGTCAGCAAAACATCCCACTTAACCTGAATTCTTGTACTCCACCACACATTTATTTATTGTCACTGGTTACCTTAAGAGCAATCCAAAGGCAAGGTAATCATCCTTTCCTGGAAAATAGCATACAGTAAACCCCCAAAAGCAAAGGTTTCAGGGAGAGCTCACTGCAAAAAAGACAGCTGCTCAGCAACAGCAACCCCCCACAACCAAAGTCCTCCTCCACTTTTCATTCTCTGTTTTATCCCCTTGGCTTCTTCAG